GACAGCAACAGAACAGCAACAACATCAGAACGACAACAACAACAACAACAGCAACAACAACAACAGCAACAACAGCAACAACAACAACAACAACAACAACAACAACAACAACAGAACGACAACAGCAACAATAGACAATCAGTAGCGGAACGAAATTGAGCCCCCAAATCTACAACAGCTGAAGGATGTATCACCTAGCAGGTGAGAGTGGAACTAATGAAAAACCACACATCTCTTGTCAAAGGATTAAGAAATCAGACAGGTCTGCAACGTGTTTCGATTCGACGCCAACGACGTGCAACCTTCAGGCGTGAGTTTCCTCTCAACATTAAAACTCCTAGCGAGGGTGTGAGAACCACCCACAATACTGGGATGATTATGGTGAGTGCCCGTCAGGACATTTTATCTAAATCGAATGCAAAGTAATGATAATAAGTATTGTTTCGATGAGAAGTTCCATTCTTGCGTGTCATAATGTCGTTCGGTGAATGAATGACAGAGTTGTGAGATTTTGGATTCGAATGTATCTAAATCAGAGACTTGAAGCTAATATCAGAGACAGCGCAATGTCATGGCCACAGCTCTTTGCTTTCCATAAAAACTTCAAAGTGAAGCGTACGCACCTTGGGGGCCCAAATGAAAGGTAAAGCACCAGACTCGCTAATAACTGTAGTTAAGTGCGTGCAGCATCTTTCTCTCATTGCACTTCATCAAATTGGTTCCGAATTGAGTCAAATGGTGCGCTCTATAGTGCCCCAGAATTCCACCAGAAGCTAGGATGTTATTAAAGAAATCTATTCCCTAATTAAATATCTATTCTATCACAATGGGTTCGTGATTCGGTCTTCTACAAACCAAATTCGAGTTCTGGACCCAAAAAGAATCCAAACACAATCAACCCTGTCCAGTACGACTACATGTTGTCGAGGAGAAAAGTGTCACGGCGTGGTGGAATCATGCGCTCGTCAATTGTTGGGCATATGGAGTTATTGGTATCATCTTAAAGCCTGTTCACTTGCCTTTCTTTTGGTGAAAAAAAATTCCATCTATGTCGAATAGAAGTCGAAATACGAGTATCTGCGACAGAAAGAGGTCCGCGTCGCCTGGTTTCAGAGGTAAAATTAGCAAGAAAATGGCCGCCAAAGTTTGGTAATTTTCATAGCCTGAGAGTACTTGGAAACTGAAAATTTACATTTTTTGTGCCTTTAATCAGTGTTCTTTCTGTAAAATCAACACAAAAATGTGTTTTAGATGGACATAAAAGGTACTGAGCTAAAAAAAAATTATTTTTTTTTTAAGTTAGGAAAAAAAATACCCATTGTCCGAAAAAAAAAATGCTGATTTCTTAGATTTCATTATTTTGACGAGCGCCTGATTTCTCCACGATGCCTCACAAATTTATTAGTGCTTGTCTCAGACAGGTGGTCCTCTTGGACAGTGTCAAAATAAATCAAGATAAAACGCAAGGTTGCAGTACGTTCGATTCCGACGTGCTGAACTGTACGCGCAGCCTTTCATTGATAGACACGCGAAGTATCACTTTCTCAGTGAGATAATGAGTTCTCACGGTCCTTACTACTCGCGCCCATATCATGTCCTTTTGGGTTTGTCTTCTCCAGTATCAATAACACCTTCTTGCTTACAATGAACGGGACCTATATTGATTACACGTGAAGCAATAAAACAACACAGGTAATTATTAGGATACGTTTCGGGTTATAATTTTTTTTCTTGCAGATGTGTTTGGTCATGAATTATATCGCATTTCTGGATAACATTTTGTTGTTGTTGTTGTTGTTGTTGTTGCTGCTGTTGTTGTTGTTGTTATTGTTGCTGCTGCTGTTGTTGTTGTTGTTGTTGTTGTTGTTG